CCTCTTTTCGATGAGGAGCCTCCGGTGATGGAGACATATTTTTGCAGCAATATGGGTCCTGCGTGGGACGTCGTAGAAGTTGAGCCTTTGACCGGGATGCCGTCGTTCAAAACCGATGTTTGGAATATTTTGGCCAACGATGTTTTTGTGGAGCTGAAGTCGAGGCTCAATAACTGGTGGGTCATTTTCCGATTGTCTATCGCGAAATCTCCCGCTGTGTGGGTTAAGCGTAGGGAGGCGTGTACATGTACCTTTGCAGCAGCACAACGCTTGCTCAAGCTTATGTTTCTCATCGGGGAAACGTCGGACTATTCCTATCATGGGGACATCTCCACCGGGAACGTTTCGGATTCGAGGGCGAATCCTGCTCAACTGGAGGAGAATGGTGCAGAATAATAAATAATATTTATTATTATTATTATTATTATTATTATTATTATTATTATTATTATTATTATCTTAGAGAATAAGTTAGGAATTAAATATTAGAGATCTTGTCTTGTTGGACAAGTTAGGAATAATGTTTAGGAGTCTTATTTAAAGGGCTCTCCCATCTATTGTATTAGGCAGTTGAATTTGAAATGAAATAAAGATATTGTTGAGTTTTGCGTGTTTTACGAGAGAGTATCTCGTTTACTCGTTTATCCTTCCCACTCGTACGCTTTCCCTACATCAGTTAGTAAGTTTTTAAAAACATTGTTTTCAGATATTTCTTCCCTTTAATGTGAGATGAGATGAAAGACGCAAAATACAGAAAGTGTGAATGCTACTTTTCCCCTTTTTAAGTGTGATCGTTAAAGTTATTCTTCACCCTTACAGTATTCATCCTGAAATGAAGGACATTTACATATAATGAGTTTCTGCATACAAGGTAGTAACTTTCATTCAAAATTCTCTTCGATAAAAAGGTTCAGATTGTTTGCAAATAAGATAGATGTCTGTTTTGACTTTGATATCCCAAAACGTTTTATCTCTATCCAAAACAGTTGTTTTGCATCCAACATACATATCACTTTCTATCCAAGAGATAAATCGTGGAAGTGCTTTCTTGCAGAATGCTTCAACTTCAACTTTGATTCTGACCAACTTTTTGATTCTGTCTGCCAACACTAACAACTTTGGGTACTCAACTATTCTAGCTTCTGTGACAATATATCACTTTCTAGAACCATAATTGTAGGTTAACACTCTCCTTGTGTAAGCTTCCGGCAATATGTCATCTAGGTATGAACTTGAAAACATCTAATTGATTTTGCTTTATGGTTTGTGCTATAGATGAGAACTTAATAACAATTTGCATGTATTTTCCCCTAGTTGTACAGGTGGTTTAGCCGGTATAGAGCATGGAACAGAAGATGCATCACATGACATTGGTAGAAATTTCCTCAAGTGGTGGTGGACGACTGAGAAGAAGGTTTTGTATAGTCAAAGAAGACTACCATTTGGTATCACCTGGGTGACAGCAAAGCTCGAGCAAACTCAAGGAGGTGCCGAGTTTTGCACTCGGCTAACCCCATTTTGGGCTGGTGTATCAACACGAGAAGACTCATGCAAAATACCATGATAAAGCATAAAAGACCGAACATTAGCGGAAAATTATTCTTTTGCATTATCACTTTGCAAAATGCAAACAGACTTTGCAGAATAACAACAACAACAAAGCCTTTTAGTCCCAAATAAGTTGGGGTAGGCTAGAGATGAAACCTAAGACTTCGCAGAATGCTAACAGAAATTTGAAATTGATTCTTAATCTTTGCACAAAACGAAGAAAAATGTGAAAAACTTCTGAACGATTTTTCATTAGATAAAACCAAGTAACAAGAGAATAATCACTAAACAGAACTAAGTATTTGTAACAAGTTTTTGATAGAACAACAGAAGGACCCCACACATCAGAATAAACTAACTGAAATGCGGACGCAACCCTTTTATTAACTCGAGGACCTAAATGGACTCGGGAATGTTTGTCAAACTGACATAAATCACAAGGTAAAGATAAAAAGAAGAGAATTGTGGACACATTTTCTTAAGACTCTGGAGAGAAGGATGACCCGTCCGACAATGCATTTCGAATGGTGAGAAGGTAGAGCAAACAAGAGAGCGTGGCCCCAATGCTTCAAGAACATAGTCCCATCACATTCATAACCTCTACCAAGGATCTGCTTCGTCGAAATATCGTGAAAAATGCAATGATCCGAAAAAATGAGAAATTGGAAAACTTAATGCAGGTTGTAGGAAATATTGGGGTTTATGTGAATATATCCAGTACTAAGGACACGTGGGGTAGACCTATCAGCTATAGCGACATGAGTAGAGGATGTGTGAGTTTGAGAAGTGGAAAAAAGGCTTTGGTTATATGTCATGTGATTTGATCTGACGCACCAGAATCAATTACCCATTTTATGCCTTTCGAGAAGAGACATTCAGCAAACTAACAAGCAGCAAATGTTATCATCGGTGTCGAGGGTTTCACAGTTTTGGTAAGACGAGAATATTCCTCGGCAGAGATAGTAACAGTCTACAAAGATGAAGCTACATGAGCAAAACGACTTGTTTGACTCTTCTCGGCTAGCTTTGGACAAGTGTATTTAGTGTCTCCATAATCTTATCATCAGTCATTTTGTTCATAATGGGAATAATTTTAGAAGTATAGTCTCTACTCTTTCCAGATTCTACTCTGAGGCATCAAACCTTTTCAGATTACTTTCCCAAATGGTCATCTAAACCTTGACCACAAAACTAAATTTCCACAGTATTTTCAGAAGTAATGTTGGCCATGTAAATGAAAGATATTGTGAATATATCCTATAGTAGTGAATATTTCCATTGGAAAAGACTCTCAGCAAGTATGTTCTTATATAGGAGAATTGTACAGACACTGTCCCTTAATTATAGGGACTGAATCAAGAAATTACAAAAATCAATGTCCCTAATATAAGAAAACTATCAATCATAAAATATTAAACGAAATATAAAATACTTTTTCTAGACAAGAAGATCAATAGTGGTTTATTCATCTAATGAAATGGGAAAATTATCAAAAATCGAGGCATACCACGTAAGAAACTGAAACAAGGTCGAATGATTTTGCAGGCAAGCCAGTGTTTTCACCATTTCCATGGATCCACCTTATTGGTTGTTTCCTTTGGTTTCTTTTCTTCTCCTTATATTGAGCAACAGCTAGAAAGTAAGGAGACAGGTCTAGTCCCTGCGGGATATGATCAAACAAACATTTAATATGAAACAACAAATAATTAAGAAGCCTTTAGGTCATATTTTTTAAACCCGGACTGGTGATTGACCCGGGCAGGACTCCGGGTCACCAGGTCAATTGCTGAACCAGGTAATTGATTTTATAAGATTTTAAATTATTTTTTATCTTATAACTATACATAAAATAATAAAAATAAATTATTTATGTCAATTTTGTACTCCAAAGTCTTAAATATTGTTTTGTCATAAATATTTACCACACACACACACACATACATGTATATTTTTATTTTTAAAAAATAAAAAGGTAAAAAAAAAATTGATTGACGCGATCAAGGTCGGTTTGACCGGGTCCCTGCTACCCAGTCGAACAACCCACCTGGACTGGTCCCGGCCCCAGGTTGACCCGCCGGGCAGGTTTCAAACAGTGCATTAGGTGGATGAGCAACCATTTGAGCATGCATGATATTAATACTCATCAAATTTTGATTACTTATACAGTGATTAACAGAAATATACAAACCATAAAATTAATCCACAGATGCCCAAAGTGGTCGAACATACTACGGCTTTTGCTGAGGGAAATTTGTCCGCAAGAAATCTCGTGCTCACACCAACAGAGCATCCAATATCCAGAATGTCTGCAACGGTTGAATTTCCTGAATATTGCTTGTGATGGTTTTCAAGTGCTTGAAGCCAATTGCCACGTACAATTTGATTTGCTTCATCAAGCGATGAAGCATAAGGAATAGCCCGTCTCACCATGGACATAGTTGCTGCCTCTGCTTCGGCTGCAGCCTGTTCTAGTACAAGGTAGTCAGAAGATGATTTCTGTTACCGAAATTCTGGAAAATAGTGTGTGCTGCATACAGTGTACATAATTAACAGGATTTCAGAACAAATTTGTCATCTTCTAGAAACTGTCAAATGTATCTGAACTTTTTTTTAAGAGAAGAAAAAAAAAAGGGTAACATAATAATAATCAAATTTGCTAATCATATTCAACAGCGATTTATTTACTCATGTAATAAATATTAGGAGACATCGTCCAGGATCAATTACCAGCCATGATAGGTTTCCCTCATCATATGCATGAAAAGGATTGAGATAATCTGCAATAATTGAAGATAAATCATCAGAATATCAATCAATGATGCATCCACATTTTTCATTCCTGGTTTAAGTATGTTCATGAAGAACACTAAACGTACACCTAATCCAAATTTACCAATAAAATTAAAGTGATATGCCATAGTAATTAAATCCAAAAGCTGCTTGCTCTGTTATGCATTCACAAGCTATATAACTAGAAACTATAGTCCATATCCATAAAAAGGCCAGTAATCCTCAGTTATCTGAATTTGACACTCTACTAGTGACTGCTAATACTAATAAGACAATATCTCCTGATTGATTATAGTATATTAATGAGCACGAATACAAGTTCTTTTGCTCTAACGGCGGAAAAAAAGGATTTTGCATTCAATAATCGTCCCATTGCCAATGACGAATAAAACGGAAAAGTAGCCAGTTTCTTAGATTTTCTACCACATAGACGTGTTGTCGAAATTCTATGTGATGCTATAAAGTTTGGTATGATCTCATTAGATTATCCACATATATTTTCATTAAGCAACTTTGAATTTCATCTACGATGTCTCTCTCTGAAGAACATTATATTTAATATCTAGATGGCATATATATAAGAAGTACATTGAGTTCCAGCAACAATTTTCATTAACCTCATACTTATATTTGATGCATGCAATGACTATTCTAGAACAAATTTCTTTGCTGCAATCAAAGAATCATTAATAGTAGTAAAGACGGAAGGCATATATTTATGGAAAAGATCAGTGATCATAGGATTTCGGGGAATTACAATCAGGATAAACAATTGAAGGGTCTTCAATAGCAGCCTTCTCCTTGTACACATCAGACTCCAAAATCTCCTTCGTCATGTCCCTCCAAGGAATGTTGGTTTTCTCAGCTGTACTGTCCAAATCCAAACCCGAAAGTTTAAGGATCCATCGACTCAAGAAAAATTTATCATGAACAATCAGATGACAACACTCCAGATTGCATAGAACAGGTCATGAAATGGCAACATAAGATGGGAAAATGAAGAGTTATGCAACAAACATGGCGAAAATGGAGAGTTATAGAGAACTCCCAATGTCAGGAGACACTCTTAATACTAAAATAAATAACAATTAACAATGATTAAGGAAAACATCAAACATGCAAAATCCCACATTGTTTAATTGAATGAATCATAAGTCCAACAAGCAAAAATACACGAACAAAAGAAAGGTTTGTAGATGAAGCTCATAGTCCACCTGATCAAAACTTGTCTTGCACCAAGTTTGAGAACAGAAAACAGAGGTTTGAAGGAAATGAGGGCTCCAACAAGCCGAGAGAGTGGAGTTTCGCCAGTCCATTTAGGCCTTTCCAGTTTCCCTTCCTCAAACTCAGCGGCCATTCCCCCACCGCTTGGCTGCCCCGCCGCCGCCGCAATCGGGATTCTTGGCGGTGCATTTCGTCTGTGAATGCGACAAGGGATGGGCCGCGTGGAGATTGTACAGCGGGAATTGAAATTGTTTAGCGTGGTCGATGCCATCTGCAAGACTCCACTTGAGTTGACGGAGATGGTGATTTTGCGGTGGCTTTGTTTCCGGCCAGGGTGAAGATGCAGAGGGTATCCGTGTGCAATCCACAATTTAGCGACGTGTGGACATGATATGGATTAGAATTTTCAGTTCCGAGTCTTCCGACCATTCGTATGAAAATTGTATACAGTACTGTTGATGAATTAAGGTGCCACTACATATTAAAATTTTAAATGATTTAGATAAACTTCTCATGTATATATACGGTGTCATACGATGACTTGGCTATGGAGCCATCTGTTTTTTTTTTTTTTTTTTTTTTAAGATGATAGAACGATTCTTATTAATAACGAAAAAAGAGGTACAACCGAGAGGATCAATGATCCAAAAATACAATAGAACTTGCCCAAAAGAACATTCACTGATGCCCTATAGACCAAACTCCAACTAGCTAAAAACAGCAAAACAGAAAACCAAAAAAACAAGCATTAACACCAATAACCATCTACTAACTAAACAACAATACCTAATAGGAACTGGCCAATCCATGAGTATACCATGAAGTTACAAACACTACAAGAAAACACTTCAATTCCAACGAAAAATTCCAACGGAAAAATTTCCGTTGGAAATTCCAATGAATATTCCAACAAAATTAATTTTATGTTGGAAAAAGTGTTGGATGGTTGAGAAATTCCAACGGATTTTTTCCGTTAGAATAGCTGTAGGAATTTATTTCCATAGGATTTTCCGTTGGATTTTAGCTATTCCAACGGCCATTTTTTCTACGAATTTTTATACGTAGGAATATCCGTTGGAACACCTATTCCAACGGATATATAAAGAATTCTAACGGAAAATTTCCGTTGGAATGTAAGAGGTTTTTTTGTAGTGAAAGGTTGTGCCTGGGAGAGCCCCCGCCTCTATGAATCGAAACGGTCGATTCCACCGATTTGGCTCCTGGTGGCTGTTTGAGCTCCTTCAGACCAGCTGGATAACCAACACAGAAAATCCAAGACCAACCAAGCAAGCCAAAGGCAGCAATAATGGTTGATCCCTCCAGCTTCAGTGAGTCCTCTCAGAACAACTCCTAAACATAGAAATCCAAACCAAAAACAAATAGACAAGAGAACCTGTCACAACTGAACCTGAAGAAAACATGACCTAGTCACAATCCATCAAGTCCATAGCTCCCTACACTGCCTGGCAATCCCAAAATTCTCTCCAATCTCTAATTGCAGCCTGAACCACCTCTCTCTCTCTCTCTCTCTCTCTCTCTCTCTCTGGCATCATACAGTTTTGGAATTTCCAGAGAATTTTGGATTTCCACAACCACCACAAAATGTAAGTGGTTAGCTGGATTCTTTCCTGAGAAACTTTGGATTTATCCAAAGAGCAGATAGCCCACCACCATCGTCTAAAACAAATTGTATCCCCTGTTAATCCCTCTCAATCAACTGGAGCAATCTTACATACCAGTTGAGCCCTTCTGCATTCAAAGAATATATGTTCAGTTGACTCCATGCCTTCACCACAGCAGCAACAAATGGGGCCAATCTCCATGCCTCTGGCCTTTAACTAAACACAGACAGGGAGAGGTTTGTTGTAGCATTTCCACAAAAAGTATTTTAGCTTTTTCTTAACCTTCAAAGACCAGCATCTCCTTCTAACCCTTTCATCATAATCAGTAGTCTGGCTTCCTTCAGGTATCCCCAGCTTTAGCACCTTATTATGGATATATAAGCATATGTGTTAGCCACAGTGAAGTTTCCTTTTGGGTCAGGGGCCCACACCCATTTATACTGCGGCAATGGATGTAAAGACTTGATTTTCAGTATAGCCTCTCTCTCTTGTTCAGTAAAAAGTCTCCCCAACAATTCATAATTCTATCTCCTCCCACCCTGCTCCACTAAGTCCCTCACCCACATGATATTAGCCTCCTGCTGCATTCTTCTCACAGCGAACCCCAGTTCAAGATCAGGCACCCAGGTATCTTCCCAAATTTTACAGGACCTTCCATTTCTGACTTCAAGTTTAAAGTAGTTCTTATACCTATCCCTGACAGTTAGCCAATTTGACCACAACCAAGATGCTGTTGTAGTTTTTTTAGCTTTTAATATATCAGAGTTGGAAAAAATACCTTGCTTACAAGGTTTTGCTCACAAGTAGATTTAGATTATTGAGGACTCTCCATATTTGCTTAAGAATTAGAGAGTCATTGAAGAGAGACAGATCCTTGAATCCCAGGCCACCAGCTTCCTTTGGGTTAGAAACTAGATTCCAGGCCTTCCAATGAATTCCCTTATCTTAGCCTTTCCCTTTGCTCCACGAGAAAGCTGCACAAAGTTTGATATTGTCCCTGCAAACTCCTTTAGGCTACACAAAGCAAGACATAGAGAAGGTTGGCATAGCCTCAATCATAGCTTTGATAAGCACTTCTTTACCAGCCACAGATAGAAAGTTATTCTTCCAATTAACCAGCCTGGATTCAACAGCTTTGATGACAAAATCAAAAACTTCTTTTTTGGCCTTGCCAATCCCCAGGGGCAGTCCAAGATACCTTGTAGAGTGTTGAATATGAATCCCTTGATGAATCTGACAGACATTAGTCCTCAGAATCACAGAAGAGTTTCTACTGAAAAAAATAGAAAATTTATTCAAATTTACTTTTTGCCCAGTAAACTATTTATATCTCTCCAGAATTGAAATTAACAAAGAGGCATGATGGCAGTCAGCATTGCAGCACACAAGGGCATCATCAGCAAATAAAAGGTGTGAAAGAGGAGGTCCTGATCTAGAAATCTTCACCCCACTGAAATTACCCCTACCTGACTCAACCTTCAATAGCCTAGAGAAAACTTCTGAAATAATGATAAATAGATAGGGGGAAAGACGATCCCCCTATCTAATACCCCTTGTGGCTATCATAAAGCCCTTCACACACCCATTAATGTTGAAAGAGTCAACAGCAGAAGATACACAAGGTAAAATCCACTTCACAAAAACTGAAATGAAACCATACAATTCATGATACCATAAATGCTTTGCCACTCCACTTTGTCATATGCTTTCTTCATATCCAGTTTGACAGCCATGATCCCTTTAGTCCCATAGTTATGCCTATTGAGGAAATAAATTGCCTCTTGAGCAATAACTACATTGTCCACTAGTCGCCTTCCTGGAATAAAAGTTGTCTGGTTGGCACTAATGCAAGAGTCTAAGCAATGTTTAAGTCTGCCAGTCAAAAGCTTTGAAATAATCTTATAAGAGACACTGCACAAACTAATGGGTCTGAACTGTGCAAATGAAGAGGGATTCACACATTTTGGAATCAAAGTTATAAGAGTATGGTTCCAGTTTTTCAACATCATTCCAGATTCAAAGAAACTAATAATAGTTTTACACACATCAAATCTGACCACATCCCAAAAAGTTTTAAAGAAAATTGGAGACATACCATCATGCCCCAGGCCTTTGTCAGGATCAAGACTAAATAGAGCTTCTTTGATGTCATCCTCTGAGAAAGAGGCAGTTAAGACAATGTTCATCTCATGAGTAATAGTGGAGGAGATAAGTTGAGACAACTCAGCACTACCCCTAGATCCCTCTCAAGTGAACATTTTCTCATAAAATTTGCAAACACACTGCTCAATAGACTCAGGAGACTCACAGATATCACCTCTATCATTGATTAATATAGAGATAATATTACCATATCTTCTTTGCATCACCAGAGCATGGAAGTAGTTGAAATTAGAGTCACCTTGTTTCAGCCAAGTCACTCGAGCCTTTTAGTGCCAATAAGCCTCCTCCTTCTTTACAATGCTTTCCATCTCTTTGTTCAAAGCAATCCACTCATCCCACTTTCTGTTATTTCACTGCTTACTCAGATACTCCAGTCTGGCAGCAACCTCCACCTTGGCTTTTTCTTTGTTCTTTTGGAAAAACCTGCTCTATCTCAATAATGCAATTCTGGTATCTTTAATTTTTTTCAGAAACTTGAAACATTGGAGTCCCTATTTTGATAGAACTCCAAGCGTGGGTCACTGTGTCTTTAGTTCCTACCATGTTGAGCCATCTCTTGTCAAAGAAAAATCTTTTCTTTGGTTTCTCAGTATCTACAGCCCCTTGAGTAGAAAGGATCAACATTATGTGATCTGATGCACTCTGATAGATAGATTCCACTTGAGCTAAAGGAAAATCAGCCAACCAATGAAAGGATCCAAAGATTCTATTAATCTTCTCCTCAATAAATCCTTCCCCAGCCCTATTATTTTCCCAAGTGAACTGATGACCAATCATGTGGATTTCCTGTATTTCCATGTTAGAGGTAACTTCCCTAAAACCTCTCATATCAACCTCAGCCTTCTTCTTTCCTCCTCTTTTTTCATCTATCTCGCACACTTCATTTCACTCACCTCTTATTATCCAAAACTTCCCCCATTTGGACTTAGCATTCTCCAAGAACATCTATTGTTGTTCTCTCACATTTGTATCAATGCTCATGTAGGTAAAAAAATCACCCAAAAATTATCCCTGCCTTGCCTACCCAGAACTTCCACCTCTATATAGAATTGATTTCCCAAAATTTTTGAATCTCCCTTTCCCACAATAATAAAAGACCCCCATTCCTCCCCAAAGGATCTACAACAAACCATTTGTCTTTAAACCCTGACTTCCTACAAACTGTTTGGACAAAATATCTCTTTTTTTCTGAAATGAAAATAAAACTGGGGTGGTGGATCTTGGAAGAATCTTTGATCTGGGAAGCTGTAGAGGGTCCATCCAGACCTCTACAGTTCCACAAAATTGTCTTTATTTGGAAACTTGGGGCCAATCTAGGCTGGCTGCCTCCACCTTCTTTTTTTTTTTTTTTTGCTATTTTTCAGTTTTTTGAATTTTTGGGAAATTGTCAACAGATCAGCTTCTTGGTTTTCCAATGAAGTAGTTTTTGTGGCTTCCTTTCTTTTCAAACTACCTCAGCCTTAAGCCTTCGATTCTGTGGTTTTGC